GGAGTAATAAATGGAAGCGAGAAGCGTACATCCGACACCGGTTTTGTGCAGAAGAGGGTTAGGCTGGTTTGAAGAAGGGTTGTATTTCAGTAGCTCGCACTACAAAGTTATCTTTTGATCATGAACTTTGCTGTCCAGTGACTGAAAAATTAAACCTGGAAAACTCCCCGAGTTAAGCCTAAAGAAATATGCACCACCAGTGGAGAGCAATGCTAATGTTTAACTAGCTGAAATAGCTGTTTGCTTAGTGGAGAATGTGAGGTATCTGACAGAAGGGACATCTCTCTTATTAGTAATCAAATAGGGCTGACCAGTTGTTGCCATCACTCTGGGATTGTGTCAGGCAATTGAGAACAAGTTCACCACTTTATAGAACTCGAAGTACCAAAAAATCAATATAATTATATTTGTCTTTAGTGTTTTAGCTATGGAAATCATATAGCGCTGGATTGTTGCCTGGCGAGCTGAATTTATTTCTGCTTTATCGGCTAAAAAATATTTGGAAGTGGAGGAATCTTGGCGGCGTAGTAAATGCAAGACGGCGCGTTACAGTTTTTATTATTGGATTACGGGCACGGGCATTGTTCGGAGTTTTCAAGAGATGTGTGACTTTTGCAGATGTAAATGGCGAATGGCGTTAAAGTGTGACTACGGCAGAACGCGACGAGAATTAACCGGGAATGAAAATTAGAATAATATTTTGCTATTATGTGCTCGGTCGGACTTTAATTTAGAGCTACGGTCAGAGTGATCATTTCGTGCCTATTGAATGGACGCTGAAAAATGCGCAAGGAGTTGATGTTTATAGTCCGGACACACAATGAAAGGCAGCACACATAACATTTTCCAGTGATTAGGGATTATAATGATATATACATAATAACGTCCTGGAATTGCTGTGAGATAAATTATATCGGTTCTGTGAAGGGTGGTCCTGGCAAAACTGAAAGGAGCTATACAATCCCAGGGCTTTTATACCTTCCCCAAACTATCGGAAGTCTGTTATAATTTGATATTCCAGAAGCATGGGAAGATATAAAAAAACCCCAGAAAACATTTGGTTAATGGGTTTATCATGTTTATTTGAATAAGGAAGATTGAAACTCCATTTATGCCTAGCATAAATGCTTTAGAGATCTTAATTATTGATGAAAAATCTGCTGTGCTTCTAAATTTAAAGATATGACAATTTTATAGGAATTTTAATCACCTTCCACATTAGGAATTTTCAAGATTTGGTTTTTATGAGGACGGCATGTATTTTAGCCTTCTAAAGAGAGTTGTCACTTATCATGTCAAAATACTGGGGGAATTTGGCTGCGGAGCACAGAGGGCTGCGCGGCGGCCGGCACGGCGCTCGGCCTCGCAAGACGAGCTCTGGAAAAACTGTCGACCGTACCGTTTGCTCTGAGCAGACCGCAGCGAGCGCAGAAGGAAAGCGGGGAGGTGAAAGAGCTCTGTGAGGGCGAGAGTCCTCTGAAACAACCGACGGGTATTTGAAATCCCCAGTATTTATGCTTCCTCGAGCTGCGTGTTAATAGTTTGTTACCTAAATTTGTTGTCGGTGTTGAATTTCGGGTTTGTGTTTCCTCTCGAGCATCCCAGAACAACGCTTCCTCCATCAGATTTGTGGGTCAATTTACGGTTTCCCATAAGAAGTGTTACCGTTTGGTTAGTTGGCTTAAAAAAAAGAATTATATACAATATGCTTCGCCAGATCCTTTTGTCCTTTGGATACATTTAGCAGCTTTTGACCAGATAAGGCATATTTGTCCTCAGGATACGAACCAATAATTCAATCCTGAATTGAGATCTATGGCCACCCATTTGTTCCAGCCCACACTAGGAGTCTCTGTGATACTCTGAATTGTTTATCGCACGAGGGAAAAAAAAAAAAAAAAGAAGAAGAAAAAAACCCCAACCCCTTATGCACCTCAGGAATAATAATTTGTTAGCAATTAAGACATTTTAAATAAACCGATGTAAATTATAGGTTTGCATCCTGCAGTGGGCTTTAAATGTGAAAACAAAACCAGAGGCCTCGGAAGCAGCGTTCTGTGTCGCATGCCTCTGCGACCTTTTAATTCGCTGAGAATTTTTATTTATGTCGACTCGGTGTTTCTCACGGAGCACGGCCGAGTGTGTACACTTTTATTGCTGTATACATTTAAGTATCTTCTGGCATATCGGGGCTATTCATACAGCACAGTAACTCACGTATTAAAGAACAAACCCCCCATAAATTGCAGCGCAGTCAGTAAAAAGATGCCACAGAAAAAGTGTCCCTGGGAAATTAGTTTGACCCAAAGAAAAGCAAATAAAAGAAAGGAAAAGGCCCATATTTTCTTTGCGGTGTTGCTGAAAAGGATGGGAGTATCATTTTCATAGTGGAATAATGTTTTCTGGGAAAACACAAAAGCAGATGTTCCTCATTAGGAACACCCATTGTCTACATATCACAACTATGAACAGATAAATCTCTCCTATTTCACCCATACATTCCAAGGGCTGTAAATGATTACAGGATGCCGCTGTAACTGCTAAACCAAAACCACACTCTGCGCTAAAATAATTCCTCGGTGCCACCATCGTATATTTCGTGGAAAGGTATGGAAATTCCTGCTACGCTCCGTCCTCTCCGCTTTTCCTTCCCTTCTTGGGCTCGCGCGTGGCCGGAGCCTGGGTGTCCCCAACTGTTGCTGAGGGGGTGGCGGGGTGGCATCCCCGTCGAGCCGCCGGGCGGCATCTCGCTGGCGGAGCGGCGGCAGGTCTGGATGCGCTCGCAGTGCATCACCGCTCGCGTGCTCTGCAGCGGGTTTCCAGATGGTACCATCACAGTCCTACTGCTAGTTGGCATCTCCGTGGGTAGTAAATACCCCCCTCCCCAATAAATCTGGCATTATTCTATAGAGTTTAGGAGACTTATCATTCCAAGTGTGTCCTACTTTCCTGTACGGAAGCCAGACATCTGTTTATCCCATTTCTTTCATACGGAGTTTGGAATAGCTTTAGTTTGGGGGAATAAAAAGTTTTGTCATATTTAACAGCTGTTACAAAATTTCAATCCCGTAGGCTCTTAAAATACTTTTCGACTGACCTCAGATTTTGTAGATAATTGACATTGCTGGTAGCCACCCCCTTTAACCTTTCCCTGGCTGTGATTTCAGATTATTTTCCCTAAACGAGTTGACTGTTCACACTGGGTTTGGTTTGGGGTTTTTTTTTTTCGGTTGTTGTTTTTTGTCTTTCCACCGGCTTGCCGGTGCCGAGCTTTAATTCCACCCTACTCCAAGTTTACACCTTCGGCGGGGTCGCGGCGCGGCGGCTGGAGGGCGATGGGGGTTTTTTTCGTCAGCAGCGTTTCCTTTCACTTCCCGTCACAAAGGTGAGAGCCGCTGACCTTTGCTGGCAGTCCCGGCCGCTGAATTATTCATGTGATTGACTTTTTGTCAGTGCACACAGTTGTGCTCTGGGACATTTTATTCATTTACCTCATTTAAAGCGCCTTTCTGCACCTGTTCAAGTATTAATATCATGTAATTTGGGCCTAATGCCGATTTTGCTGAACACTCATTATATTTTTTATTAGCTATATTTCCAAACGATTATGTATGATTATTACCAAGCCTTACAAACAGCAATGGGTTATTCCCTAGACCTTTACATCTTCTTGTCAGGTTGTTTTCAGAAGCAAGGAGGATAAACATTTGACCAGTCCCAATGTTTTTATTCCTACTCCATATCCAACCAGAGAACTTAAAGCTTTTTCCCTTATGGCTTTGCGAAAGCATGATTAAATCCAACTCTGCAGAAGCTGTACAAATGCCAGCATTTATAAGGTCAACGCTTTTGTTAAAAATGCTATGTAAATGAGGATCTGCAAAAAGGGACATTAAATAAAATTAAATTCATTGTCTTCTTTAATGTCATTTACATTTTGGCTAAGCCCTGGCCTGTCAAGGAGGATTTTTTAAATAATTTTAATTACGCATCATTTAGGGATCCAAGGTTTTCTATTCAGTAGCATTTGGATAACCTGCAAAATGGTGACTGTTTATTAACTTCTTAAATGACAACTTGTCATTTCATCTGCATAATGCAATGAAAACAGACCAGTTTGGTGTCGTTTTTAAAAAAAAAATCTTGTTTTTCTCTAAGATGCGCACCCAACTAC